CATTCTACTAAACATTGTCTTTACTCTATGTCTAATGTTTGTATTTGAAAGCTTAATTCAAATTTGCAACCATTCTAATAAACATTGTCTTTACTCTATGTCTAATGTTTGTATTTGAAAGCTTAATTCAAATTTGCAACCATTCTAATAAACATTGTCTTTACTCTATGTCTAATGTTTGTATTTGAAAGCTTAATTCAAATTTGCAACCATTCTAATAAACATTGTCTTTACTCTATGTCTAATGTTTGTATTTGAAAGCTTAATTCAAATTTGCAACCATTCTAATAAACATTGTCTTTACTCTATGTCTAATGTTTGTATTTGAAAGCTTAATTCAAATTTGCAACCATTCTAATAAACATTGTCTTTACTCTATGTCTAATGTTTGTATTTGAAAGCTTAATTCAAATTTGCAACCATTCTATTAAACATTGTCTTTACTCTATGTCTAATGTTTGTATTTGAAAGCTTAATTCAAATTTGCAACCATTCTAATAAACATTGTCTTTACTCTATGTCTAATGTTTGTATTTGAAAGCTTAATTCAAATTTGCAACCATTCTAATAAACATTGTCTTTACTCTATGTCTAATGTTTGTATTTGAAAGCTTAATTCAAATTTGCAACCATTCTAATAAACATTGTCTTTACTCTATGTCTAATGTTTGTATTTGAAAGCTTAATTCAAATTTGCAACCATTCTATTAAACATTGTCTTTACTCTATGTCTAATGTTTGTATTTGAAAGCTTAATTCAAATTTGCAACCATTCTAATAAACATTGTCTTTACTCTATGTCTAATGTTTGTATTTGAAAGCTTAATTCAAATTTGCAACCATTCTAATAAACATTGTCTTTACTCTATGTCTAATGTTTGTATTTGAAAGCTTAATTCAAATTTGCAACCATTCTAATAAACATTGTCTTTACTCTATGTCTAATGTTTGTATTTGAAAGCTTAATTCAAATTTGCAACCATTCTAATAAACATTGTCTTTACTCTATGTCTAATGTTTGTATTTGAAAGCTTAATTCAAATTTGCAACCATTCTAATAAACATTGTCTTTACTCTATGTCTAATGTTTGTATTTGAAAGCTTAATTCAAATTTGCAACCATTCTAATAAACATTGTCTTTACTCTATGTCTAATGTTTGTATTTGAAAGCTTAATTCAAATTTGCAACCATTCTAATAAACATTGTCTTTACTCTATGTCTAATGTTTGTATTTGAAAGCTTAATTCAAATTTGCAACCATTCTAATAAACATTGTCTTTACTCTATGTCTAATGTTTGTATTTGAAAGCTTAATTCAAATTTGCAACCATTCTACTAAACATTGTCTTTACTCTATGTCTAATGTTTGTATTTGAAAGCTTAATTCAAATTTGCAACCATTCTACTAAACATTGTCTTTACTCTATGTCTAATGTTTGTATTTGAAAGCTTAATTCAAATTGCAACCATTCTACTAAACATTGTCTTTACTCTATGTCTAATGTTTGTATTTGAAAGCTTAATTCAAATTTGCAACCATTCTAATAAACATTGTCTTTACTCTATGTCTAATGTTTGTATTTGAAAGCTTAATTCAAATTTGCAACCATTCTACTAAACATTGTCTTTACTCTATGTCTAATGTTTGTATTTGAAAGCTTAATTCAAATTTGCAACCATTCTATTAAACATTGTCTTTACTCTATGTCTAATGTTTGTATTTGAAAGCTTAATTCAAATTTGCAACCATTCTACTAAACATTGTCTTTACTCTATGTCTAATGTTTGTATTTGAAAGCTTAATTCAAATTTGCAACCATTCTACTAAACATTGTCTTTACTCTATGTCTAATGTTTGTATTTGAAAGCTTAATTCAAATTTGCAACCATTCTAATAAACATTGTCTTTACTCTATGTCTAATGTTTGTATTTGAAAGCTTAATTCAAATTTGCAACCATTCTAATAAACATTGTCTTTACTCTATGTCTAATGTTTGTATTTGAAAGCTTAATTCAAATTTGCAACCATTCTATTAAACATTGTCTTTACTCTATGTCTAATGTTTGTATTTGAAAGCTTAATTCAAATTTGCAACCATTCTATTAAACATTGTCTTTACTCTATGTCTAATGTTTGTATTTGAAAGCTTAATTCAAATTTGCAACCATTATTTGAAAGCTTAATTCAAATTTGCAACAATTCTAGTAAACATTGTCTTTACTCTATGTCTAATGTTTGTATTTGAAAGCTTAATTCAAATTTGCAACCATTCTAATAAACATTGTCTTTACTCTATGTCTAATGTTTGTATTTGAAAGCTTAATTCAAATTGCAACCATTCTACTAAACATTGTCTTTACTCTATGTCTAATGTTTGTATTTGAAAGCTTAATTCAAATTTGCAACCATTCTAATAAACATTGTCTTTACTCTATGTCTAATGTTTGTATTTGAAAGCTTAATTCAAATTGCAACCATTCTACTAAACATTGTCTTTACTCTATGTCTAATGTTTGTATTTGAAAGCTTAATTCAAATTGCAACCATTCTACTAAACATTGTCTTTACTCTATGTCTAATGTTTGTATTTGAAAGCTTAATTCAAATTGCAACCATTCTAATAAACATTGTCTTTACTCTATGTCTAATGTTTGTATTTGAAAGCTTAATTCAAATTGCAACCATTCTAATAAACATTGTCTTTACTCTATGTCTAATGTTTGTATTTGAAAGCTTAATTCAAATTGCAACCATTCTACTAAACATTGTCTTTACTCTATGTCTAATGTTTGTATTTGAAAGCTTAATTCAAATTTGCAACCATTCTAATAAACATTGTCTTTACTCTATGTCTAATGTTTGTATTTGAAAGCTTAATTCAAATTTGCAACCATTCTAATAAACATTGTCTTTACTCTATGTCTAATGTTTGTATTTGAAAGCTTAATTCAAATTTGCAACCATTCTATTAAACATTGTCTTTACTCTATGTCTAATGTTTGTATTTGAAAGCTTAATTCAAATTTGCAACCATTCTAATAAACATTGTCTTTACTCTATGTCTAATGTTTGTATTTGAAAGCTTAATTCAAATTTGCAACCATTCTATTAAACATTGTCTTTACTCTATGTCTAATGTTTGTATTTGAAAGCTTAATTCAAATTTGCAACCATTCTAATAAACATTGTCTTTACTCTATGTCTAATGTTTGTATTTGAAAGCTTAATTCAAATTTGCAACCATTCTAATAAACATTGTCTTTACTCTATGTCTAATGTTTGTATTTGAAAGCTTAATTCAAATTTGCAACCATTCTAATAAACATTGTCTTTACTCTATGTCTAATGTTTGTATTTGAAAGCTTAATTCAAATTTGCAACCATTCTAATAAACATTGTCTTTACTCTATGTCTAATGTTTGTATTTGAAAGCTTAATTCAAATTTGCAACCATTCTAATAAACATTATCTTTACTCTATGTCTAATGTTTGTATTTGAAAGCTTAATTCAAATTTGCAACCATTCTAATAAACATTGTCTTTACTCTATGTCTAATGTTTGTATTTGAAAGCTTAATTCAAATTTGCAACCATTCTAATAAACATTGTCTTTACTCTATGTCTAATGTTTGTATTTGAAAGCTTAATTCAAATTTGCAACCATTCTAATAAACATTGTCTTTACTCTATGTCTAATGTTTGTATTTGAAAGCTTAATTCAAATTGCAACCATTCTACTAAACATTGTCTTTACTCTATGTCTAATGTTTGTATTTGAAAGCTTAATTCAAATTGCAACCATTCTACTAAACATTGTCTTTACTCTATGTCTAATGTTTGTATTTGAAAGCTTAATTCAAATTGCAACCATTCTACTAAACATTGTCTTTACTCTATGTCTAATGTTTGTATTTGATAGCTTAATTCAAATTTGCAACCATTCTAATAAACATTGTCTTTACTCTATGTCTAATGTTTGTATTTGAAAGCTTAATTCAAATTTGCAACCATTCTACTAAACATTGTCTTTACTCTATGTCTAATGTTTGTATTTGAAAGCTTAATTCAAATTTGCAACCATTCTATTAAACATTGTCTTTACTCTATGTCTAATGTTTGTATTTGAAAGCTTAATTCAAATTGCAACCATTCTACTAAACATTGTCTTTACTCTATGTCTAATGTTTGTATTTGAAAGCTTAATTCAAATTTGCAACCATTCTAATAAACATTGTCTTTACTCTATGTCTAATGTTTGTATTTGAAAGCTTAATTCAAATTTGCAACCATTCTACTAAACATTGTCTTTACTCTATGTCTAATGTTTGTATTTGAAAGCTTAATTCAAATTTGCAACCATTCTATTAAACATTGTCTTTACTCTATGTCTAATGTTTGTATTTGAAAGCTTAATTCAAATTTGCAACCATTCTAATAAACATTGTCTTTACTCTATGTCTAATGTTTGTATTTGAAAGCTTAATTCAAATTTGCAACCATTCTAATAAACATTGTCTTTACTCTATGTCTAATGTTTGTATTTGAAAGCTTAATTCAAATTTGCAACCATTCTACTAAACATTGTCTTTACTCTATGTCTAATGTTTGTATTTGAAAGCTTAATTCAAATTTGCAACCATTCTAATAAACATTGTCTTTACTCTATGTCTAATGTTTGTATTTGAAAGCTTAATTCAAATTATTTACAATAATTATTATTACGTTTTTAATTATTACGTAAATAATTTTAATTTAATAAATACAAAATAAATAGATAAAATATACTGTTTATAATATACTTTATATTAAGGTTATAATAAGCAAAAAATAATAATGTTTAACAATAAATGACATATTTGTAAAATATTTATACGTTTACAGTATTTTTACATATTATAAATCGCTTATCTGGAGAATTAAAAAACATTTAACGTTAAGTTTATATTTTATTTCTATTTTAATTCAAAATTAATTATTTACATCATTTTATTATTAATTATAAGACTAGATGTAGTCCTCCGTCACATATTAGTACTTCACCGGTAATATAGGAAGCATTGGCCAGAAAATAGACGGCTTCGGCAATCTCTTGTGGCGAACCCATACGTCTCATTGGAATCAGATCTTCGGGTTTCGGATTTATTATTATATTGGATGTCATATCAGTTTTGACAAAACCTTTAATTAAATCAAATATTAATTTAATTATTAATTAGTATATAATTTACGGGTATTTATACTGTATATATAATACCGGGTGCTATTAGATTAACAGTAACACCGATCGGTGCCACCTCTTTGGCCAACGATTTGGTAAACCCGACGAGTCCAGCCTTTGAGGCCGAGTATATGGTTTGTCCTCTATTACCGGTCAGTCCTACAACACTACCTATTTATAGAGTAAATCATTTTAAATATACAATAAAACAGAGACCACAGAAACAGATGCCTAACCAATGTTAACAATGGATCCCTTTTTATGTCTAACCATTCGTCTTAAAACTGATTTACACATAAATATGGTTCCCTTGAGATTGGTTTCAATAATGTCATCGACAACATCTTCAGTGGTACTCATTAGTAGTTTATCCCGATTAACGGCCGCCGCATTCACCAACACTTCAACGGCGCCTAAACTCTGGTCTAAACTTTTGACAAAATTGTCAATGGATTCGGGTCTCGATATGTCACAGACTTGTCCACTGACAACAACACTGTTGTTGTTCTGTTCAGACCATTGTCTCAATTGATTTACACTTTTGTTAACATTATCTTCATTTTTCGAGACAATAGTGATATTGTAACCACTTTTCTAATATCAGATGAAATACAGACGTCTGATAAAGATGTTATTAAAAAAATAATAATAATAAAAGACAAAGAGTTAGTCATTCATACCGCAAATCTTTGGGCCACCGAATAGCCGATACCTCGGGAGCCGCCGATTATCAGCGCCTGTCTTAAGGCACTCATCAGTGAACTACTTCTTCAGCTGTAATTTTGCTGATCAATTGATTTCAAACTTCAAAACTTGAATTAAAATTTATATAAATATCAACACATGTCTGACGTCATCGATGGTAATGCCATCTGTGGTCGTCGTCTCAGTCAAGTGTCTATCAGTTTATACAAACACTTCAAATGTATTGAATGAATGAATCAAACATTTCTTCTCTCAATTCAAAAGAGTCGACACTTTATGAGAGTTCAGTGTATTTGCGGTTAACTTGAAATACATTTGCTTTTTTGATTGCCTGACCTTCGCTGGCCATCAACGGCAACATCGACGTCGACTGACCGACCGGACCATCAAATTGTTATTATTGGCCATCAGTTGATCGTTGAACACATCCGATAACAATGTCTTCAAGCGGTGCATCCAAGAAAAGAGTCTGTTATTATTATGACGGTATGAAAATTGTCCACTTTTTCTCCATTTAACCGCCGATGAGATATCTTTTGTTATTTAATTTAGTTTACATTAAATGAATTGTCAGCCAAATAGCAATAGTTTTTTAATTTACTTATTATTATTTAATTCCTAATTAATTATAATAATAATAGTCTCTCAGTATATAAATCCCATACAAAAAATTTTTTTAATACACTGAGCGCTCAATTTGTTGTCTGCCATTGTGGGCATCCGTACACTGTATATATTATATAGCGCTAGCAATAGTAGCAGTGAATGACGCTTACTATTGCTTAAGTATAGGCTATAGAATATATTAGGCTACTAGTCTACGGTATCCCAATAGAGTAGCTAACATTTTGTGCCGCATCCGTACAAAACTATTAATATACTATCGTATATCATATATAATGTAATTTAAATTATATTATTATTATTATTATTATTTTAGGTGATATCGGTAACTACTACTATGGTCAGGGACATCCCATGAAACCTCATCGTATACGTATGGCACACAATCTGATCCTAAACTATGGATTGTACAGAAAAATGGAAATCTATGTAAGTTTTCTTTTTTTAATCATCGGTGGATCTATTAGGCCATCGATTTGTTGTCCAATTGATAACTAAATTTTAATTTTAATGAATAAATTTTGTTGTGTTTGTTATACGTATGTCTTTAATTGATTGATAATAATTTGTTTAATTAGTGATAAAATAAAATTTTTAGTAATTTATTTGATATTAGTTTTATCTGTCTGTTTGTGTATTGTTTCTGAAGTGGTGTTTCTAATAATGTTTTATACATCTGATCTAAAATTGTATTTCTCTTTATGTTTGACTAATAGCGACCACATAAGGCCACCCAAGAAGAGATGACAAAATATCATTCCGACGATTACATCCGATTCTTGAGAAGTATAAGACCCGATAATATGAATGAATACAACAAACAAATGCAAAGATGTAAGTTTTTTTGGATTACTTGGTTTGGATGAAAACATTTTGGTTAACAAAATATGTTGTTTTAATATTATTAGTCAATGTCGGCGAAGATTGTCCTGTTTTTGATGGTCTCTACGAGTTTTGTCAGCTGTCGACCGGCGGTTCAGTTGCCGGTGCTGTCAAACTTAACAAACAGGCGGCCGATATAGCTGTCAATTGGGCGGGAGGTCTACATCACGCCAAGAAATCTGAAGCATCGGGCTTTTGTTATGTCAACGACATAGTGTTGGCCATACTTGAACTCTTGAAATATCACCAAAGAGTTCTCTACATTGATATTGACATACATCACGGCGATGGTGTTGAAGAAGCTTTCTATACTACTGATAGAGTGATGACCTGTTCTTTCCATAAGTATGGAGAATATTTTCCAGGAACTGGAGATCTTAGAGATATAGGCGCCGGAAAAGGCAAATACTATGCGGTCAACTTTCCCCTAAGAGATGGTATCGATGATGACGCTTACGAAAGCATTTTCCAACCGCTCATCTCAAAGGTTTGTTTGATTGTGATAATTATGATTCAGTTTTACTAAATTATGTCTTTGATTACCATTAGGTGATGGAGATGTATCAGCCAAGTGCTGTTGTCCTCCAGTGCGGTGCCGATTCACTGTCTGGCGATAGACTCGGATGTTTTAATTTGACACTTAAAGGTCACGGAAAGTGCGTGGAGTTTGTCAAGAAGTTCAATACACCATTGCTTTTGGTTGGTGGCGGCGGCTATACTATCCGTAATGTCGCCCGTTGTTGGACTCACGAAACATCCGTTGCCCTCAACACTGATATAGCAAATGGTTTGTTTAGATTAAGATTTTTAAAAGTATTTATTTAAAGTTTTACCGTATATTAAATCATTTACTTCATTGAATCCCAGAACTGCCATACAATGACTACTTTGAATATTTTGGACCCGATTTTAAGTTACACATCAGTCCATCAAATATGACAAATCAAAATTCAAGTGAATATCTCGAGAAAATCAAGACTCGTTTGTTTGAAAACCTGCGAATGCTTCCGCACGCGCCGGGCGTTCAAATGCAGCCCATACCTGAAGACGCCATCGACCAGGAAAGTGATGATGAAGACAAACAGGACGCCGACGAACGCATTAGTATCAGAGCTTCGGAGAAGCGAATTGCCAGAGAAGATGAAATGTCAGATTCGGAAGATGAAGGCGATGGCAGACGTGATAATAGATCTCATAAGCCAAAGGCTAAGAAGTCAAAAGTAGAGGCAAATAGTAATTTAAACGCTTCGACGAACGCTAACAATACTAATGATAGTAAAGACAAGGYATCCGATAAAAAGGATGAKTCAACTGCTGATGCAAATGACAAGAAGGCCACTACCACTGAACCGATACCCGAGTCTACCGAAGCGGATGCTAGTAAAACATCKGAYGATAAACCAGACTCTAGTAAAAGGTATGAGTTTTRTCTATAATAAAGCAGTAAATTGTAATTATTTAAGTATTTAAAGTTTTTTTATAATAATTAATGKTTTGATTTTGTATTGATTTTTAGTGAGCCTTCGCCACAAAGCACTCAAAACGTGAACTCAACGGTTCCRACAAAGGCTGACACCGCCGATAAAGACAAGAAGAGTTCATGATTTGGTTTTTTAGTTAAATTAAATCTTTTTTAATACTATTGAGACAAATGCAATCAATTAAATTAAATACATTTTTGTAATCACTAATTATAGGTTTTTTTATAATAATCTATTATTATTTATTATTTCAAATCATTATATATACTATATATTATTATATATGTGGTGTTTTGCTATCTTGTCATACAAATCATCTGTTTTTGTGCGTAAAAACAACTCAATTATGTATTTTATAAAAAAATGGATTTAAATTCAAAATTTTATTTGTTTTTTATTTGCTATAATATATATTTCTGTATATTTTTATCGATTGCTAATTAAATAATAAATTTTTTTCGACAACAATAATAATAATAATTAAAATTCAATTACCAGTAATACAAACTTTTATACAAATATTTTTACAAAGTGTCCGACCGGTCGACTCTGGAGTATTACCTGTTAATAAAATACCAAATGAATGCTTTTATATGTATTTATATAACAACAGTATAATGTAGTTATTTAACATAAATTTTAAGCATTATTATAAAAAATAAATAAATGATTTATAAAATTTATGTTAATATTAAAATTAATGTTAAAAGTTGTTATTATATAGTTAATGACTATTTAATTGCAATCAATGATTAGATTTTATAATATAAAATAATCTACAGTATCTAACGCATTTAAAGCGATTAAATTAAAAATTATTGATAAAATTAACTTATTATTTTATATTTATTGGTAAAATAGGTTTTTTTTGTTGGTCGGTATCTTTAGTAACACTTTTTTTTTGAAGTAAACAATAATATTCAATATATCTATTGATAATAATTGTTATTATTATTATCGTTGCTATGATTTTTTTAAAAGAAATATTTACTATGAAAATACTTTTATGTGTAGTATTTAGAAAATTTGATAATAAAAATATGTGCTAGTTCATTTGCTTATTTTGTTGTTAAAATTAGTTAGTTTTTTTAATTTTTTAATAATTTTTATAAAATGTTAGTTTGAATAATAATTTATTTTCTAGTGATTGAAAAGTTTTTTTTTTTGGTGAATATTTAGACTTTTTATTTCATACAATATAAACGCATACACAGTATCTGCTAATAACACTTGTTGTTTAAATATTATTATCTAATATTATTATTAAGTTGTGTCATTGTATTAGTATTATATCTAATCTATACATAAATTTATCAAATGTCCGGTTCTTTCATCATATTTTTCATATGATATTTAACAATAAAATATCCAATGAATATAAAATCATTAGATAATTGTTTGAATAAAGAGTTTTTATATGTGAATCACAGATAATGTAATGAAAAAAAATGTTTAATGATTTGTTATGGCATAAAAACTAAATTTGTTTTGTTATAAATAGTTTACTAAATAGGTGTTATTATGTCTAATAATAATAATAATAAAGTAAATGTACCGGTATATATATACATATGTATATACGGTATGTATATACCTGTTTAAATAAGTATTTAATAGATATACATTATATAATATGAAATGATTGCATGTTATTTCTATGACTACGGTTTCGGTACAATAATTTTACAATATTTTTTAATTATAATTGAATGACTAATTTAAAAATAAATAAATATATATATATATATATATATCATTATAATCATTAATAAAATTGAAAAAAAAACTTTCAAATTTTGAACTTGCAAACTCACTTGTTTGATATTTGATGATAAATATTATATATTATCATTTTAAGGTTATATAAATTATCAGTTAACCTAAATTATAATAAAGAGAGAGTGAGAGTGAAATGATGCTAATTTTTTTAAACAATTTAATAATTGGTATGCTATGAGAAACTTTAATAGAAAAGTTAAGATAACTATAATTATCTTAATTATATTTTTGACAATTTTATGGCTAATTAATAATTGGACATCAACTAAATTTGTTGTACGAGATCTCATTTATATAAGCAGGTATGATATTATAAATTTTTTTTATCAATTTTATATTTTAAATATTTATTAAAAGTTTTATTAATATACTGTATATTAAATATGGTAATAAATTTTAAAGTTCAATGTTTTTATAACTCTATAAAAATACATTACTTTAATTCTAGTATTGTAAATATTTTGGTTATTTCTATATAAAAATTTAAATAATAAATTATTTTATTAATAATAATATTAATTTAATATATTATTTGCTCAGTTGCTGAAAACCGAGTGTTGTAATAATCTGTATAAATATTTTTAAAAAATTTATTTAACTTATATTATATAATTTATTATTAAATTATTAGTCATATATTACTGTTTAAATAATAATAAATATTATAATTACTCTAATAATTAAATCACTATAAATTAAATAATTTTTTTTATTTGTGACAAAATTAAAGACCAATTTGGGACACAAGTCATGCACCAGAATTCAAAATGATTGCTCACTATTCTTCAGTTGACATGAATTCATCGCAATTGTGTTCAATTCATAACTGGAAGAAGCGATCCAAAGAAGTCAAAGTCATCGATGCCTTCATATTCTCCATAGAACTCGACTTATTAGAGATCAGACTCAACGAGTTGTGGCCATATGTCGACCTCTTTGTTGTCTTAGAATCAAATAAAACATTTACGGGTAAATCAAAACGTCTTTATTTGAGGGAAAATATGAACCGATTTTTGTGGGCAAAAGACAAACTCAGATATCACTCATACAATGGTTTAGTAGATCTTAAATCCGGTGAAAATCCATTTTTCAACGAAAATAAGATGCGATTGCATATGAATGTTGTGATCGCAAACTATGCCAAATCGGGTGACATTATTATTGTCTCGGATGTCGATGAGATACCGACACCACAAGCCGTTCATTTGGTCAAACAGTGTACCGGTTTTCCTCAGTCAATGCATTTACAATTGAATACATATTTGTATTCATTTGAATTTTTCTTCAGCACCGATGATAGCTGGAGGGCACACATCCAGGTATATGACTACTCATTTGCCTACAGTCACGGACGGATATCCGACTATATGCTGGCCGATTCAGGTATTAAATTATTAATAGTATATAATTTATATAATTTTTAATTTTAATAAATAATTTTTAATAATTATATTATTAATATTATATTTTTATTAGGTTGGCATTGCTCATTTTGTTTTCGTTATTTATCGGATTTTATATTCAAAATGACATCCTATTCACACAATGATAGAGTATTAGATAGAAAATTGTTAAACATTAATGAAATCCAGAGAAAGATCTGTACCGGCGATGACTTGTACGACATGTATCCCGAAGTCTATACGTTTAGAGAAATGATCGCAAAGTTTGGTTCAATACCTAAATCCAAATCAATGACTCGTTTGCCAAAACATGTTATCGAAAATAGAGAAAAATTTGTATTTTTATTACCCGACGGTTGTTTGCGTGAAGTATACCATCAAACCAATGTTTTTTGATTTTTTAAATATAATATTTGTTTTAATAATAAAAAGTTTATTTATAGATTTTTAATTTAGTTTATTTATATTTGTTTAAATAATTATTTAAAATTTATTTATAGAATTCTGTAATTTGTTGAATAAATATTAGTTTTCATAATAAAAATTTCTATAAATATTTGTATTAAAAAAGCAATATTTATATTAAACCTATCTATTTAAATATTTAACTATAATTTATTAAAGTTATTGCTTTACAGTTACACAAAATTAATAGTTTATAAATTTTAATATTTACTTTAATTTATTTTTTGTTGTTGCTTTTAATTGTCATAACTATTAGCAGATTTTAATAGAAATCATTTAAAACTAATATCAACTTTAATTTACTTAATTTAGTACTAAAGTAAAAACTTTAAAAAAAATATTAAATAGATAATATTTAATTATTATTTTTTATTATAACAGTTATAAATATAACATTTTATTATAAATCAACATTTTATTATTATATAAAAGACAATAATTATAATAATATTTTGTTGTCTGTGTTGACAATTAATACATGCATTAAATATAATATTATTATTTAGCGGATAAAAATAAATTGTGAATCATTTGAATTTTATTATAATTTTGACAAAATAATATTATATTAACTATGCTATAATATATATATATATATTTATATATAATAAACACAAAATATAAGCATACATAAGATAATTATACTTATTTTTAGTTAATAAAATAAACAGTTTTTTTTTGTGAAAGCAATAACAATATTTTATTTGGAGGCTTTACAGTATAGTAACAGTCTAGTACAGTATAGTTACAATACATAAATAATTGAATATTTTTATTATTTAAATATCCAACAATTTAAATGACTGTATGTTACAGTGCCAAATATAATATTATACATTATTATTATTATTATTAGTAGTAGTAGTAGTAATAGTAGAGTACATAATAAAAATTGTTTTATTTCATAATTTAACAAAAAAAACTAAATCAATAAATTATTGTTGTGTTCCCTTCAAAGTATATAAATATATACAACAAAAATAACAACATTTCAGTCATTATGTAGCGGTTAGAGTTAAGTCGATATACAATACTTTATATACAGTACAGTAGTTTTTTTTCACTCATTCAATATTATGTCAAAATTGTTAATAAAATTTATTAGATTAGGTTTGTTGGTAATCATAATTTTATTATTTGTAATATTTTTCAATTGGACACATACTAAAATAATTGCCAGGAATTTTATTTACCTGACCAGGTATGGGGTTATTTATAAATTTTATTCAATTTAATTGGTCTACAAAAAAAAACAATTTTTATGTAATATTTTTCTATTAAGAGTATTATATAATATGCTTAATAGTATACAAGTATATATAAAGTATATATATATATATATATATAATATTGCAATATATCATATTAATATTATATATTGAATACATTATACTACTGTATGATCAATAAGTTGTTATTATAAAAAACATAAAAGCTTTTTGTTATTATTAATTGCAATTGTTTGCTACTAACAAAAAAATCATTATTAAAATCAATGTTTTCCACGCAATGCATAAAATTTTGTAACAAAAAGTATATTCTGCTATAAAATATTAAATTAATACTAAATTGAATAAACTAATAAAAAGTAATACTTATAATAAACTAATAAAAAATTAATATATCAAAAGTTTTTTATTGTTATCTAATAAAAATAGTATTGAAATTTTAAAAATAAATTTATTTTCTATAATCTCCACAAAAATTTAGACCCATTTGGGATAAGAGACCCGAAAGACCACAGCATGTGATTACACACTACTATTCTGTTGATATGAATTCAATGCAATTGTGTTCACTTCATAACTGGAGGAAGAGATCCAAAGAAGTCAAAGTCATCGATGCCTTCATATTCTCCATAGAACTCGACTTATTAGAGATCAGACTCAACGAGTTGTGGCCATATGTCGACCTCTTTGTTGTCTTAGAATCAAATAAAACATTTACGGGTAAATCAAAACGTCTTTATTTGAGGGAAAATATGAACCAATTTTTGTGGGCAAAAGACAAACTCAGATATCATTCGTACAATGGTTTAGTAGATCTCGAATCCGGTGAAAGTCCGTTCAAAAATGAAAATCAAATGAGAACACAGATGACTAAAATCATATCGAAATATGCAACAAATGGTGATATTATTATCAGTTCAGATGTCGATGAAATACCATCTCAACAGACCATCCAATTGGTCAAAGAGTGTACTGGTTTTCCGGTTGCAATGCATTTGCAGTTAAATATGTATTTATATTCATTTGAGTTCAGTGTCGACGACGAGTACGAGACCCGTAGCGCACACATCACTCAATACAATCAAAAGACATTTAGTTTCAGTCACTCAAAGAGTAGACAATATATTCTCACCGATTCTGGTATTAAATGCAGATTTTTTTTCTCTCATCATATCTTACAGAATATTCTTTAATACATTGATATTATCTTATTAATATATATAAAGGACAGTAAGCGACCCCCATTACCGACCCCCGCATAGGAGTGGCTTTAAGTGTGTATTAATATATATAAAAGACAGTATACGACACTCATTAACGACACCCACATAGGAGTAGTTTTGTGTGTATAGCACTAGCACTGTGTGTGTGACTGTGAACTACAGTAAGCTATACAATACATCTACAGTACATGTATTAACATAACACACTTAAACATATAATAAGCATTGATATCATATGTGAGACATAGGCAACACTTTTACAGAGAGTCTTAAATAGTGGCGGCGGAGATGCTATTAATTACAATTATATGGTCAACAATACATTGAATTAAAAAGTGACCAAGGACAATGTTGTAGATGATTTTAAACTAAATAAAATTGTAATTGGTCATTTTTAAATTAATTGTATGATTTGCCAGATAAATGCAGTCGACTATCATTTATAAATTTTTTAAACAGTCGACTGTAAATTATTTAGCATATAATACAATTAATTAAAAAATGACCAATTACAATTTTATTTATTTTAAATTTATCTACAACATTGCCCTTGGTCACTTATTAATTCAACGTATTGTTCACCAGATAATTGTAATTAATAGCATCGCCGCCGACGCTGTTTAAGATTATCTGACACTTTCACAAAGTTTTCATAAAATTTCAAAACTAATATTTCAAATTATTTGTCGCAATTGTCTCAATAAATACTATCCTTGAATTAAAATATATTTATAATAAAAATTTTGATTTAATTTAATTAAAACGGGCCGTAATTACGGGCTTTAAAGTCTTGTATAAAGTATAAGTATAGTAATCATTATAAATAAATATTATTTTTAAATTAGCCATAAATTACTAAACAAAAATTTTGTGTCTATATTAATCAAATTTATTAAATTTATTTTTAACAAAATTAGTTAATTAATTAAAATTAATTGTTATTAATTAAATTAATAGGATGGCATTGTTCATTTTGTTTTCGCTATCTATCGGATTTTATATTTAAAATGACATCCTATTCACACAACGATAGAGTATTGGATGAGAAAGTGTTGGACAAAAAGGAGATCCAGAGAAAGATATGTACCGGAGATAACTTATACGATATGTATCGCGAGTTTTACTCATTGAAAGAAATGGTTACTCAATTGGGATCAATACCAAAGTCTAAAGTTATGACAAATTTGCCAAAACATGTCATAGAAAATGCACAAAAATTTTCATATCTATTGCCCGACGGCTGTGTCCGTCAGGACTTTAAGCTTTAATTTAATTTATTTTTTTGTGTACTATTGAGAAATAATTAAAAAAAATATTTATTACAAAATTATAAATAAATACAAAAAACAGAGATTTTATATAATGTGTTAATGAAATGATAAATCTGTTTCTTCTTCTTCTTCCTCTTCTATTGGCTATCACTCGATGAACTACTGGATGAATCAGTGGACATGACTTCGACGTCATCGACATCTTTGCTGGACGGCTTGACGCCATCCAGTGATGGATGATGCGGATAGGAAGACAATGCGCTAATGTTGGGTTTAATGTCGTGTCCGCCACCGCCGCCGCCCCACGCAAATGACGAACTACTTGACGTACTGGCCGTACTCGACGGTCGGGCTATATCTTGTTGGTTCGATTGGGCGCCGGTAGCGGCACCGCCGCCGCTGTTATTGGCGTTATATGCGTTCAGCTGATGCGACTGCTGTTGTAATAAATTAGAGGTTATGTTCGGATCGTTAGCACTGGCCAACAGTCCGGCCCGCATGTCGACATCCGTCGGATATGGTCTACGTTGATCACCGATTTCCCAATTATACGGTGCGGCCACCGAATGGGCGGCACTTATCTTATGCGCGTAACGTATCAGCTCTTCCGATGGTATGGCCTGTTGTGTGACCTTTGATATCAATTGTAGTTTATGTTTGGCCTGAAATAAGGCGGTCGTCTAAATTAAAACACAAGACATATCACCAATTAGTTCTATCAGTAAATGACAACAACAAAGAAAACTAAAATAAAATTCATACCAATATGTGTTCGGCTTCTCTAAGATTTCGCTGCAATTGTCTGATCTGTTGGTCGTGTTTGTCGACTTCATCTCTCAACTCGACCATCGATTTGTGTACTTCTTCCTGGTCTTTGGCGGCACACAATTCGTTCTTCAGTTCCTTGTCTTTGGCCACCAACAGATCGGCCAATTGGTTGTTGTCCAATACAAGTGTCGTCGGACGCAATGCTTTCGGTGTCAAAACAATCTCCAGAAGTTCCCTGAAGAAGATGATGACGAAAAAAACGAAAAGATGAGTTAAAATCATCAATCAATTAATAAAGACATATATCTTATTGGATGACATACTTTGCAATCAGTTCAATGTCGTCGACAATGGCCAGTAGTCGATCGCGGACACACTTAGCCGACGACGACGACATTGTAGTCACTGTTTTTGTTTGTTTGTTTTATTTCGGATCAATTTCAGTGATAAACCATCAAATTTTTTTGTTGAGTCAAATGAGTTATTATTTATTTATCACATGTTTTGTGTCATTCATTGTATACATACATACATACAGTCAGTCAGTGCTGACATCAGATGACAAACAATACAATCATTTTTTATTTAGTCAAAGACTGGACACTAGTTTCTCGCACTTTCAACGGCTGTTTATTTGGCCAAATGGTTCAATCAATCGGTTAATTACCGATTTTTCACACCTTAATTAATGGCATCTTAATTACCAGTAAATCAAATTAAAAAAAGTTTTTAATTAATTATTTTTTTTGTTATTAATAATTAATAGTATAAATAATGTTTATTTTCTATTTATTCTGTAATTTTTTTGTGTAATTTTTTTTTTGGGTCCCAAACCGCCTGTGATATTAATTGATGTCTACGGGTTGGATAAATACCCTGATATAACCGGTTATTTAAAATTTGACCAAGATCTTATTGGAGGTGAGGGGTATATAATTACAATTATTTTTGTATTTCATAGTTTTGTCATATAAATTAACTTTTAAAAAAAGTTTTTTTTTGTTTTTTAAGTATAACATAGTTATCTATATAAAAAAAAATTGCAATTAGATTTCAATAATAATTTACAAATAATTAAATGCAGTGAATAATTTTAAAAATATTTATTTTTTTAAATTTTATTTTTATTTTATTAAAAAATATTATCACTTATACAATAAATTAAGTTAGACTAGAAATCGATTTAAATTATTGCTTAATTAATTAATTGAATTAATTAAAAAAATAAATCTATGACTAAATAAATGCATTCAAAAAAAAGTGTTCAAACAATTATTGTTTATATTATTAAATAAAATATTTAGTTATTTTTGTTTATTATAAAATAAATTAAACTAATTTTTTTAGTGTGATTTGGTATCAAAACTGTCAATTAAATTTCTACCRTATATTGAATTTTTAAAAAACAAAAAGTTTGAAATTTTTCTAAATGACATTTCAATTATTATAATCAATTAATTGATTTTTTTTAATAATACTGATTATGTAATTGTGTTTTGATTCCGATGGCATTTCAATATAGTTATTATTATCACATTTTTTTAAATGTATTGCAAAATTATCAGTGAATTTGTTGTCGTTTTTTAAATAAGTGTCACATAATTATTGATTGTCTAATAGTTTGCGACAATAATTGCTGGGATTTTTTTAATTTTTTATTTGTTGGACAAGAAATGAGATTCAATGAAACAAACAAAAAAAAACCAACTTCTCTATCAAAACAAGAATCAATCGGCAAATCTTACTCTCGATGTCAATGTTTGATCCGATTCTTGTTGTTCTAACTCTTTCTGATTGATATCACAATTAATGTCTTGAGATTGATCGCTCATCTGATCAATAAATCTGATTCGTGGCGATGTCTTTTGGGCGTAAAAGTCGACAGCTTTTGGCTCTTTCAATGGAAACGATTCCTGTGGTGGAGAGGAGTTACCATTGATTAACTCTTGATGTTGAAGCAGTTTGACGGCAGCCTCGCTATCACTATTATTACCATTGGATATCATATGAAATTTGACATCTATTTCATCCAAAACAAACAAATTGAATATTTAAATGACAAGAAATTAATCCAAACAAAAAAAACTGATTTTCAAACCTCTATTTCGCGATGAATTTCTGCTGTGTTTGCTATGCGAATGAAAGAAAGGTGTTTCGCCTTGAAATTGTCGGATCCGATAGTTTCGCTGCAAATGCCACATATAGATGAAACAAATGATGAAAACAATGGCTAAGAAAGTACTGCAAACAATATAAATAGGAGTTTTGTTGATCTGTTCGCTAGACTTTAAGACAAACGGTTTGGTCAGAAATGTGATGAGCTTTGGTTCGGGTGGTGACAGCCATAACTCGTTTTCCGTCTATTTTTTGTTGTTGTTTATAGTATAGATGAAGATTAGATCCCAATAACATAAAACAATTGATTTGTATGTTTAGTTACCTCTATATTGTTTACTTCGGGCAATTCGATGACCGGCGACGATATAACCGGAATATGTTCCTTGAATTCGGCACACAATCCCTGTTTGATGTCACCCTCGACTCTTACAGACGATAGATCAGTTCGTCCGCCGAATGCCGACTCTAACGGTTCCAGTTTTAACTCGTTTAACTCAATTAAGACATCTAAACGAAAAACAAATATAAATTTTTACAAAATATATTGAAATCGCTGACAAAAACAATGGCCAGAATCGGGTGGACCTACTGGACACACATCCTATAAAGTTTGTAAAGTTGTAGATCTGTGCCAACTTTTGATGTATTGCTCCCACTATTACCAAATTTTCATCATTTGCCTGAAGACTTTCGCCACTTACCGCAGATGTCGTCTTTGTCTCGTATGATGTGTCRTATATTTCGCTGTCAACCTATTATTGGTTAGATATAATTGATTTAATTGTTTATCACTAAATTGGATTCATTGTGAAACACTGACCACTAGTTGAACAATGCTGTCTTTGCGTGTATAGAGCAGCCAATGTCTGCTCCCATCAGCAATTATGATCTCATCACTTATGGACACTCTGCCGATAACTATATTAACAATTATTTTTAATTATTAGTATTATTTTTGAAAACTTTTTTTTTAATGACACAAACATACATTTTGATGAATTGGTAATCTCTTCGATAAGTAATGAATGATCGGCCATAAGTGTGATGTGAATAAGTGTTGAACTTAACAAATGTTTGACAACAAGTAGTGTCCGACCGGTCGACTCTGGGGTCTTATCGGTCGAAAATGCCAAATGAATGCTAACCTGTTTGAGGATACTATCGTTTTGTTCGTATGTATAGCGAACAAGTGAGCGGCCATTGAATCGGGCGCCGACATCCTTATTGCATGTCTCGCCGCCATACGAAGTCATACTGCAATTACATATAACTTTGTTGTTTTTCCAGTCCTCAGTACAGGCGCCGCCATTCAGACAGGGAATCCTATCGCACATCATTGTACAACCGGGTCGGATCTGACCAATGGCAACGGTAGACGGCTCTTTAGCTGCACTTATCAAATCAAACAGTTTGCCGCCGACCATAAACCCTTGAAGGCAACCAACAATTCCTTGAATCTGTGAAGTAGCGCCCACTTCGTCGACACCACCAAGAAATAGTTGACTGTGGGCTTCAATGGGCACTGGCGGTCGGGCCGGTTTGACCAGTTCATACTCGTCACCCGATTTCCACGGTTTTTGGCTATATTTGGTCAGAAATTTGATTGAATGTTTGATAACAACGTAGGCATCGTTGGCCATCAAAACGGTTTTACTTCTATCGCTTCTGTCGATTTTAATCTGTATGGGAATACCGGCGGTCAATATATCATCTACTTTGACCGCTCCGCGGACCACCCGATCCATGGTATTGAATGTAAAGATAACGTGAGTTCCGTTTTCAATATGCAACTGAACAAAATTATTCATATAATCGTTGGCATAAAATATCAGTGCATTAGCCATATGTGTCCTAAAACTGATTGTTATATCTTTTTCCAAAATGGGATTCACTTCCTTTCCTTCGGCCAACTTCTGGTAGTAAGAACTGGGAGTTATGAATGTCATACCTGTCCACCAAAAAAAAATATATGATATATTTACAATAATTTGAATTATTCTGATAATAGTTGTTAATAACTTACTGTTAGCATTGCTATCGTTCTCGCAGTGTTGACCCCTTTGCGAGACAGGATTAGCACATTTACATTCATAGCTACCCCACAATTCAACACAAGTGGCGCCGTTTTTGCACAGATCAGGCCTACAAAAGGGACGACAACCCTTTTCCATGTTTGTGGTCCTATAAAAAAATAATCATAAAAGTTACACACATTTATTGGGGATCAGATGCTACTACTACTACTACTAACTTTCTATGCAAATGTCGATTCAAATTAATAACTTTGTTGTTTAATACTAGACCGCGAAGACAACCGATAAAACCGGTCCGAACTTCCGAGTTAAGCAACAGATGTTTGGGCGCTCCGCCGACATATAACGGACCCTCAAATGTGTTAAATTCGTCGTCGTCTTCGAGATCGAAGAGTTCAGAATTGAGATTAACTGTAAATCTGTTGATTCACCAGAAGATGAATTTTGATGATAATATTTAATACTATTTCAGAAAAACCATAGAATTTCTGATTAAACAATACCTCATGTGATGGGCATCGGAATCGATCCAAATCTGTTGCCAATCGCCAGTATTTAGTCGCCGACTCGATACTAGTTTAACACTACGGGGTTTGTTGTTAACCAAAAACTCAAAAGTAATCTCATATTCATCTGATAGGATGGCTTTGAAGTAGCCGTGATGTGAGTGCAATGGCGACTGATAAAAGATGACCGCTTTGGGCGCTGTTGTCCTAAAACTGACAGCCAGATCGCCGCCTTCCCAACCGCTCAGTACTTCCAGATAGGATTCTTTGGTCTGAAAGGTAATCTCATATTCTCTGGTATCTGAAGACAAGGATGTGTATCTCAGTTATTATATATACACAATAATATAACTTATATGATATACTAACTTGAGTTAATGCAGCTAACGTTTCCCAGTATGAGATGCGCCTCCGAGTCCTTAATATGAGTTTTGGTCTGCAAGAAGAACATCCGAGTGATGCCAACATCTTTGGGATTCGTGAAGAAGCCTTCGTCGTGTTTCCAGCCAATGGTTTCACTGTCGCAGTTGCAGTGTTTGCTGTAATATACAAAAAAAAACTTTTAAACATTTATATCCATTAACTAAATTCGTAATTAAACTCCTGTACCTCCTGTCGACACAATTTTCAGCGGTCGAGCACTTGCACCGACCGGATATACCGCTGCCAATACTGGTCACCTTATTTCCGGCCGTCGACTGCATCCATGTATAGCTTGAAAGACTATAATTTTTTTATAGATTAAATTATATATATATATATTATTATAATGTGATTTAGATAATTAAAGATAAGAGTTGTTTAATACCCTAAAGGCGCTGAATTGCACTCGTATTTGATATATTGTGAACACTGTTTTGAATGCATTATAAGCAAGTGAAGCATTTTGGGTGTAAACTCACGATACGTAACATTTAAGTAGAAATTACCGAACTTTCCCCGCTCTCTGACCACCTATTGTTTTATTTATTATTTTTTCGGAAATATATTAATAATAATTAAGTTTTTTTTAAATATCGATAATTTAACTATTATATTGGACATTACCAATTGATGTCGGATATTATGCTCGACAATTGTCTCAATCATCCCGTTTTCGGACATTGAACAGATGACATGTGCCGGCGGTAGCGGACCATTTTGGTCGATGTCTATGATATAGATACCGGTTTTGTGATAACCGGCCAGATATAGCTCTTCGCACGTGCGCTTAAATATCGCTATTATTTTTTTCAGTATATTAATAGATATTATGGAAAACAGTTTTAAAAACATATCCTTATATTTTTGTTAAATAAGTGATTTATTATAATTTTATGATTTATATAATAATATTAATAAAATAAAAGGTTAGGAAACTCACAAAAATGACATGTTTTGCCCACATATCCAGTCCGCCCACAATCACATTTGGTTTGTCCTAATAATCAATTATATAGACAATAATAAGTATGTGCTTAATGTCACTACAAGTAAATCTATTTTTAAGGGAGGGGTAGTAGGGATGGGGTGAAACAGACATACCTGTCTCGATTGATGCAATACATTTGCCTCCGTTTTCACAAACATTGGGACTGTTGCACGGGTCGACCAGCTGGCAGTTGTCCAGCGAAATTTTACCGATAACAGCATAGTTATCATAGATAACCCGGGGATCAATTGACATCCGGTTGATTGTAATATCTCTCAAACAGCCTCTGATGCCATCGCTGGCACTCGAATTGACAAGAAATCCGGCACCAAATGAAACGTTTGAGTGGAAGTACTCAATGGATAGACCCTCGACAACAGCCTCTTTAGTGTACTTATAGTTTGATGTAATCATTATCTTTCCGTTGCCATCGCTTTCTAATGAAATCTGTTGCCAATAGTTCAACAAATGTTTGACAGACGTCGTAATACTCCAGACAGAGATTAAGGAACTGTTTGACGAACTGATGGTAAACTTTGCTTCGCTGTCATCTAAATGAAGAAACCAATACTTATCGCTTGACTGGTTGTTGTGGCCATCGCTTAGACTGCCCGACGCCAGTATGGCATTGTTTTTCTCCGATTTGAACTCAAGACTCAGTTTAAGTGCCGAACTATTATTGATACCGATTATAAAATGCGAAAACTTGGTGGACATAGTTATGGGAACGGGATCTATGTATCGGCAGCCGAATTCGGGCTGAAAGACACTGTGATAAACGGCCGCTTTGTTTGATTGTTGGCTTAACTCATATAAAATGCTTTTTGTATTAAAATAGACAAACTTAAGACAACCGACAAATCTGTAGTTTATATCAAACGGTATTAGTGTTGGCTGAAAGCGAGCACTGGGAACGCCACCGATGAAGATTTCTGACCAATTTAATTTATTTATGGATCAATTTAGATTTACTAATGATTTCAACTAACCTGGATCTACATGCAGATGATGTTCGTGTCCCGGTATCTTCAGAGATCTGACTTTAATTTCATCGACATATAGATAGACATCGTGAGCGTGATGTCTAACTGTTATATTATGCCAGTTGTCATCCGATAGGACAATGTTGTCAATTGTAGCATTGATTTGTCCGCCGCCTAAATCCATACTAAACAATAGGACACCGTTTCTCAGATGCATTGATATATAGCTATGGATAGGTTGTTCTCCCCGAGCGTACACTAGTATACCATTGAGTGATTGAGTTTTCAGATGAAGACTAATCCGATTGACATCGGAGTGGACTCTGTCCTTATAATTGTACACTTTATAGGAGACAAATGAATAGCCTCTCAGTGTCAGCACAGATATGTTGTCACTACGGCAATGCCAGTCCTCACGGCGGGTACCGAAACAGTCACAACTGGTGTACTGATAGTGATTAATACAGAGAGCACTGTTGGCACACAAATCCAATTGTTTGCACAAATTTACACAACCTTTCTGTAGACCATTAGAGTTGGTTATCACAAATGGTTTCAAGTGATTGTTGGCACTGTTGTTGTTGTTGTTGTCTATCAGATCATTGTTGTTGTTATTGTTGGCCAGTGAGTTGACCGAAGCTATGGCACGAAACTGTATTTTTCCTATACATCCAACAAATCGTTTGACACTATATTGTTGATGAGCTATTGGATTTCGGTTGTCTAGTCCGCCGAAAAACAGTACCGAACCGATAGCGTCGGCAGTTGTGCCACTCTTTTTCAGCACATAACTGGCCAACGATGACAACGAAATTTTCATGCCATTGTTTTTATGATTACTAGCCTTCTTGTCCAACATTGCCATCAATGTTCCGTTTAACGGATTTATGGTGATCCGCACCGTATGATAGATGTCATGATTTAATCCCTGTCCCATAAAAAAGAATTTTTGTTCGGCACCAAACTCGTGGACAATCTTAAGTCTACCGTTTTCAAGCATAACGTACAGCTCGTAGACGGGAAATCCTTGCACTGGATTGACAACTGTATGATACATAAGCAAACCGTGCGGACGATCGCTACGAAAATGAAATACTACTTCACGGGCTTTAAACAAATGCCACGATTGGCTGGTGTTTATCCTAATGAATGAATTACTTTTTGCAAACGTATAGGTCTGGTCAGTGGTGTTGTTAGTGTTGACAACATTAGGTTTGACCACCACTTTAGAAGTGTCAACAATTTCGGTAACATTATTATTATTATTGCCATTGATTTTACATATGTATGATGCGATTAATATGATGATGAAGATGACATTAGCAATGTATTTATTATACATTTTTAAATATATATATATAATTATTATTGACTTATAAAAAACATCAGTTCCTTCATCTAAATAAAATTATTGGAAATATTTTTAATAATTTTATGCCAATCATCATTGTCTTGATTTAAAAAAAATAAAAAATAAATTTCTAGCAAATATAATATCTAATTAAAGTCATAGTTATAGCTAAAATAGAAAAAAATAGTTTTTATTTTTAAATATTTAAATCATTAAATAGATTATTGTAAGTTAAACATGTGTGTATTAATTATTATTAAACACAAAAATATTGGTAATAATTAATAAAATATAACATTAAGATATTTTAATTCAAACATTGTTAAATATTATTATTATTATATTATATCACAACTGTTGTTATGTATTAATAATAAATTTTAAATAATGTATACATATTTATATTATGATATAAATTATTATATATATTGTTTATAATAACTTTAGTTCATGAATTAATAGTAGTATTAACTAATATATTACATTATAATTGTGTAGGAAATGTTATAACTGAAATTTCATATAAATATATATATATATATATATATATATAAACAATTATCAGTAAAATTGTCTTATCATTAAAAAATAAGTTTTTCTGTCATTTATCAAAAATTTTTTATTATTATTATTATATTAAATATCTCTAAACATGTGTATACGATAAACACATATTGTACTGTATATTATGTGTGTATGAATTATCTAATAATTAAACATAATCAATATTTATAAATACTCATAACAATTTTTTTCGGCATCAATTAACTGTATATATATTTATATTTAACTAAAAACTAAATAAGTATCAATTTAATCACTTTATTTTTTAATATTCAATTATGAATGAGTTTAAATTACATACACAGTAATCTATCTGAAACATGATAATTGACTTGTCTTTAAAAATTGTTTTAAAAATTTATATTTTACCCATAATAGTAAATAAAATAAAATAAAATCATATTAAATATTCATTTTTTTATTTGAAAAATAAATTGTAATATTAATAGATATTCAATTAAAATAGTTTGAAAAACAAATTAATTGGATAACATGTTTGTTTGTTTTTTAACTAAATTATACTATACATACACTAACTTTTTAATAGATACTCCTTTAATATACAGTATATAAAAAAGCTAATATTTGTTTAATATTAACATTTATATTACATTTTATGCTAAAAAATAACATAAAATAAAAGTAGTATATCAGGAAAAATGTTTAGTTTAATAATAACAATGATATTTGAAAATAATAGTTTTAAAAAATCTATAAATTAATATTTATAATTATTATTATTAGTATTACTCAAAAAAATAAACAAAGTTTTAGTTAAGAAGAGAGTCTGTGGGTGTAATGAATTGCACTAAAAAAGTTAGTTTATTATTATTATATAAAAATATTTTACTGTATTATACTATATATCAATATATCATATAATATTATACCGGTATTTATTATTTAGTATAATATAATGTACCACAAAATTGAGGCGACTTTATGGCCAAAAATAATATATAAAATATGTTTGAGTTTAAAGAGAAAAAAATAACTGATACAACACCCAAACAATAATAATAATATAAGGATTTTAGTTATAAAAAATTAAATAAAAATAGATTTTTGTTTTTATTCCCCATAGGATTATCTAGGATATCCTGGTTAGTCTAAATTTGTTGCACAAATTGTTTGCAATAATTATTTTTAAAAAAATTAATTATAATTTTTATAGCATATATACTGTTAAAAAAATTATTGATCAAATTTTAATTTATTGTACATTTAATTATCATTTTTTAAAAAAAATATGATAACTTTCTTACTTGTCATTATTAATAATATTTTTAATTATAAAATCATGATAAGATGACAAAAAAACATTTGATTATTAAATTAAATAATTGTTAATCAAATTAAAAGCATTGTGTATATATGTGTAAGTGATACTGTATTACTACAGTAGTATTATTATTATTATACACAACTAAACACAATTGAGTATTTAAAAATGATGATAAAAATTTGATGTCTAGAGAGTGCCCCCAATGCTAATGGTTGGGTGGTATTGTGAAATATATAGTAAATTGTGAAAAAATAGTTTTATTTTAAAAAAAATAACTTTTGAGAAATTGCGAGAAATAAGGTTACTATTGATAAATATAATAATTGTTTGTTAGAGGAGAGGGAGAGAGAGAGAAAGAGAGAGATACAGTATTATACATAACTATTTGAAGTGAAAACTATTAAATATTATATGATATATAAAATGTTTAGTGAAGGCCATCATCAATGAGGTGATGGGATGGGTTGCTGTATATATCATAAAATATTATATATATTATATATATAAAACACTTGTTGTATAGTGAATACCAATTACAGTATTATTATATTTTTAAAAAAAGAAATCACTTTAGAAATAATAATAATAATAATAATATAGTAATCATTATGACTAATACCAAATTTATTATTATTCTTACAAAAACCTCTGTCCAGAAATTTTTTGTTGTTTTAAAAAAACAAAATTCCAGTAAAGTATTCAAATATATTTTAAGAGTAAAATGAATCTACAAAATTGTAAATATATTATATATATATATATATATATATATTATATTCTGTATAATCACGTTTGTTTTATAATTATATTTAAAAAATAAATAAATTCAACAAAATATCTGTTACTAAAATAATTTTTTAAAAAATGAGTGATGCAGACTAACTTGTTATTATTTATCAATTTTTTTGAAAAAAATTATTACAATAAAAGTTTATATTCTAAACTATAGTAACAAACAAACAAAAAAAACTGTGGAAATGGTTTCTTTATATAATATACTAAGTATTTATTGCATTATTATTATTATTATTATTTTAATACAGTGAATATTATATTACTTAATTTGCAATCTGGAGCTACAAAAATAATTTTGTGTCTATTTTTTTTTGACTAACAATATATCTATGAGATATAATTATAATGACATACGATATCATTTATAATAAACTAGATTTGCCAGATATCTATTTTTATGATATTTATATAATATATCATTTAAATTATTAACAAAAAATATTATATAACATGTCAATAACTTGTAATAATAAATATTTTCATAAAAATATTTCATATTAAATATTAATAAATACTCAATCTCTATAAATAAATGTTTTAAACTACACTGTTATTAACACACAAAATAATAATTTTAAAAAAAAATCATTGAACATAAATTTAATGGTAAAGTCAATTGGTAGTAATAAGTGCTCACTTTTGAAAAATAAAAAAAAATAATTTAATAAAAATAAATACTAGACATGAAAAACAAACAAATATTAAAAAAAAGTTGAACTAAAAAATCCATATATGGTTAGGACTATGATTATGATTATAATATAAGGGAGAAAACGATACTATGAATTGAAATCAATTGATTATTTATTGTTTTATCTCTCTCTCTCTCTCTCTCTCTCTCTCTATTAATAAATAGTTTCAACCAAAAAAAAAAACATTACATAATTGTTTAACTATTTCTTTATATTCTGAATTATATTAATATATTTTATTTTTTTAAAAACGTTTGTGTGCTAATCAAGCATTAAAATTATAATTTATCAGCAAATGAGTTAGTCTTACCAAAAAAAAAATAATAATATTAATATTAATAAAATGCAAAAACACACAATACATAGTTGTGCCAAAAAAATGTATATTTATTTTAATAAAAATATTATAATATAATCATGAATTGGCATCTGTTATATTCACTGTTAGCAAATTATTTACTGTCAAATTGTATACATTTTTTCAAATAAGTAAAAAAACAGTAATATTGTAATTATACGACATTTTTTTAAAACACAAAATAAAATAACTATATTTGGATTTTGAATACTAGTTTTTTATTATTATTATTATTTTCTATGTATCGGATAATAAATAAAATGTTGTCAATTCATTGTAATAAATATCACGTTTGTTTCGTGGAGTTAATTAATATTAATAAAATACTTGAAAATTTTTAATTAACACACACATTCATAAACACATTTATACAAACAATAATAAATTTACTACTATTATACTACATATATTATATTTTAAAATTTTTATATATACCTATTTATAGACAATAAATAATTAATATCTAGAAAATAATAATAATAATAATACCAGAAAAAATCTATTAGCCATATAATTATATCTAAATAATTATATTTAACACACGGCGACAACATGTCTAGTGGTTGCCAACTATTTTTTTTCAATTAGCAATTATACTGTACTTAACATTAGTTTAGGTATTTTTCAACAAAAATATTTGTTTAATTATTGATTAATTGATGTAAAAATTGAATTTTTATATTTATATAACACGCTGTAATTTAATGAATATATAATTAACTCTCATTTTTTTCTAGAAATAATATCCAAATTTTTAAAATGTGACTTTAATTTAGTTTTAAAAAAAAACATTAAAATTTACTATTATTTATATTACTGGCAATTTAGATAAAATTTTACAAATATATACTATATATATAGTATATACTGTACATATATGATATATCTAGTGTCGAGGTCATATGAATATTTCAATGTAACATATTATTAAATGTTAGTACCCAATATAAATACATATATTTATATAATTTTAAATCATTGCAAAAATTTTAAATTAAATATTTATCAATTTATCATGGTTTGTAAAATAAATAAATAAATGTATTTAATATATAAATTAAAATATGATAAGTTAAATTGTTATTTATTAATAATGATATTCAAAAAAAATTACTGAATAATACTCTAGTATTAGTAATAAAAATACACATGGTAATAAATTAGTAAGTTATTAGTATTAATAAATTAACAATTAAAAAATTTAATATGCATATATATTAAAATAATTTATCTTTAAATATTTGAAGTTTAAAATATTTATATTAATTAAGTTCACAACAATTAATAATAGATTTTT